GGGGAACTTGCACAATTGGTGGCTGACTAAATACTTTTTTGCCCCACTGTAAAAGAAAAAATGCCATCTAGTGGTAGATGCAGAGCATTCTTTGGACTACGATAATGCAATGAGGCCTTCCATCTATGTGAATTTTTTTAAAAAAAAATTGCATTAAAAGATGCCTGAATGGGAATCCTGCTCAACGTCTTACAACATGTGTGTTTCTAACATTCTCACAGAATTAGAGTTAGAATTCTAATTAGAATTAGAATGATCTTAGGATTAGAAAAGGGGGACAGTTTTCACTCCCGCACGTGGGCTTCATGGATTGGGGAATATAGAAATATTGCAAATGATTACATGGACTTTAATTAGTCAGACCACAGGACTTGGGTTTCCTTAGTGAAGTATCCACAGCTATGAATGCCAAATATCCTGGCTCAGGGTTTCAAGCCCGACAAACCTACGTGCATTTTTTTATGTCAGACCATCACTAACTACAGATTCTTGGACTTGGCTCCATCTTTGACCTTCCATCCCAGTGAGTGGTAGGCATATGGAAAGCAGCATACAGCATCATAGCTGTTTTAGCAAGATGATTCCGTTTCCTATTTCCATCATCTTATCTGAAACCAGCAGAAGTAACAGCACTACGCTTTCCGACATATCTATTCACAGTAGGGAAGCACTAATCAAGGTCAGAAAAAATCCAGATTTATGTATGTAAAGCCTCTCTCCACCTGTGGAAAAGATAAAAGCTAAGAGATGACAGATTCACTGACGGGGATCCAAGCTCACCTTGTGCCACATGGAACATTCTTTACTTCATCTGTTTGTAAGGTGGTCTAGACAGCAGAAAGAAAGATAATTATTAAGGAACTGGTTACCTTAAGCTGAATTTCACTTCGGCAATAAATAACTTCTCTGTGATAGGGATGGGCAAAATTTGGCAGCCGACGGTCACACAATTGTTTGGGGGGAAACAAACAGCCACAGAGAAGAAGGTAATGTTGCAAAATGGATGTCCCACCTGTGATGAGATTAATCTTTTTGGTTTTCTCCTCGATTTGGAGGAGGATTTTTTAATTATTGTGGTACAACTTATTATTATTATTTATACCACAATTATGTTTCTTGTCCCAGCATAGTAGAAAAATAATTTTGGGGAGCACAGGGCTCTATGGGCTGTAAAAAGTGGTCCTGAGGTTATCCTCCTTTGTACTGTGGTTTGGCATCACATTAGTCAGTCTCTTTGGCGCAACTCAGGTAAACACTACACATCTGTCTAAATTTAGTTCTATCTGATTATCTTAGCCCATCTTCTCTGCAACCTATCAGAGCCAGAGCCAGACTTGCCAGTCAAAAGGTTGCTCAGCAATACTTCAAGACAAATATATTCAACATGCTGATTGAAAGTAGGTCTTGAAGATAATCTTTTACCCCTATTGTGAAAAAGTGGAAGGTCTTGTTTGAAAACGGGTTTAAGGTCTGTTCAGATAAGAAAAAAGGAGAGTATGAAGGAGTCATAAAATGTAGGACATGCAAAGAAAACTTCATTTGCAGATCTGCAATAGTAACAATAACTTTGCATAGGCTCATTACAAAATACAGAGGTAAAATGCCCTTTAACAACCCAGCATGCCACTGAAATGCTTAATAAAACATAGCAGGAAAAAAAATATTATGGGACAATAAAATAATAAATGGCAGTTAAGATCTAAATCAGTCTGGGAAACAGATAATAGCAAAGAAAAATAAATAAAACTTATTGCCAGATGGCAGCGTCCCACACACATGGAAGAAGCTGGAGTGACAAAGAATTAAACAGATTGGAGTATGTAAATAATGTTTGTGTCATGCCACAAGCGGATTTGGAGTCTATAGCTTGATGCAATATCTGAAGTATATATGTGAACCAGACCTGTCTGCTATATACTGTAACAGCGTAATGGGCAAACAGTGATTCAGAAGATGTTATTTTGGACTGTGATTCTTTTAATGTGCTAATATTCCCAGACCGCTCTGCTTGCTTTCTTTATGATCAACATATGGAAGACTTCCAAATTAAAACTCAAATCCCTCAAATTCCATGTAGTTTTGCTAAAATGAACAAAAGAAAGTATATCTATGCATATTCTAGATTAGCTATCCCCAATCTAGAATCCTTCCAGTGACTTGGGACTGCATCTCCCAGAATTCCCTCTTAGTATGGCCATTGCTCTAGGAACTGTAGTACTGTATCAAATATCCAGGGAAGATCAGTCTAATGGTTATCAGACTTAGGTTACTAGCTTAAAATGAGACTATGCAGAGAACTAAATCACTGAGCACTTCCATAAATTGGAAGAGATGCTCAACAGCATTAAAAAAGCACATATATAATCTCTCTTCATTCCGCCCAACAGCACTGGTCAACTGAAGACTTTTTATTCTACTTTTAACACATTTAAGCATTTTCCACTTTCTTTTCCTGACAAAAACAACCTGTATCACTGAACTGTAACAAAAACCTGGAAGAACAGGGTGTGGCAAGCTTGTTCTCTTCCTTCCTTTCACAACAATTATTACATAATGAACCACTTGCATGAAGCATTTCCTAAGGCTTGCACTCAAGACACATGAAGAGCATAAGATGGTTATGTATTAATTAACAAAATCACCCCATGATGCAGTTACGAGTTTCTTCCATGTGACAGTTATAAAGTATAAATGTAAATCTGGCTTCAATTTCCTGATGGTCTCCAGATGGTACCAAACTTGAGTTTCCTTCTAGATCTCTGTTTTAGTTACAACAGATTGAATCACATATTTAATTTTTCCAAATCAATTAGTTGTTGATTTGCATATCCCCAACAGTTATGAATATTGAACTATATAAAATACACATTAAGTTGAAATGACACCTCATACTGTCCAGACCCTGAATTTGAACCTACCAAGAAATGTCTATTTTAAGATAGCATTCAAAACTGCTTTGGCACAACAAATAAGAGATCTGTGTCCTTCTCTCCCATAAGATAATTATATGCAAAGACTAGATACCTGTACTGATTTATAGGAAGTTATGAAGGGGAGCATTAGATGGAAACCAGGTCCACTTGTGGATGTCAGGAGAGCACCTCCTCTGTAGGGGAGAAAGGTACATATTTAATCAGGCAATGCCCTGGTTCTTTGTCCAGAAATTTCAGCCTTTTGACATCCCCACCAACCAGTTCCAGATTATGTGGTGCATCAAGAAGCTCAAAGCTCTCTTTCTCATCATCTGAATACTTTGCCTAGATCCTATTATTCAATTTAGGCTGATATTCAAACCTTTACATGCAATGTTTGTATAGTACCCTACAACACTGAAGATCTCTTGACAGCTCACAATAAATAGAATTACACTGAACTTGCAGCAATCTCAGGATCAAAAGCCAAACTTTTAAACTTTTTTACTTTTAAACTTTTAAACCCAAGTTATTTATGAAAGGCAGAAGTTTTCTCTAGTGCCAAAGGACAACAAGTGTTGTCCCAAGATGACCACTCTGGAGCTGCTATTTTGAAACACATGCAGTCAATCTCAGTAAGGAGATGCAGCGCACACAGTCTTCAAATATCGCCCAGGAAAAGCAGATCTTTGCAGCTGTGGCATTCAACTTAAGGAACACGCTCCCAAAGAAAGTCATGCATGGCACCAGATTGTAGTGAAGGAAAAAAACACATGGCTCTCATTTATTCCATCTTGCAAACCACAATTCTTAGCATGCATGCAACAGTACAAAAAAGCACAGCTCCTTCCAAGCATTTGACCTTACCTGTAGTAAACACCAATATGTCCTTCCTCAATCTTGTGCACTGCAGAAAAAAGAGCAGCTGCCACTAGGCTGACAGCCAAAGCGGCAATGGCACCTAACTGAGTCATCCCTGAGAAAGTAACCTGAGAAAAGTAAAAAGGAGTGAGATACGCGCTCGTGTGAAGCTGCGCAAGATACCAGTCCCATTATTCTGTGCTTTGGGGACAGGCTGTCCTGTCCCGGGGTACAGCTAAATCACACGATAAGGATTTCCTTGCATGATTGGATCAAGGTCCACATGCCCAGCACACTTCCCCCCCCCGCCAAACCGCG